CCCCTTCCACCCATATACCCCCCCCATCCCCAGCACCGCCATGGCCGACGAGCTCGACTTCACCACGGGCGATGCCGGCGCCTCCTCCACCTACCCCATGCAGTGCTCGGCGCTGCGCAAGAACGGCTTCGTGGTGCTCAAGGGGCGCCCCTGCAAGATCGTGGAGATGTCCACCTCCAAGACGGGCAAGCACGGCCACGCCAAGGTGAGCGCTCGGCCCGCAGTGTGCGTGTGTGTGTGTGTTCCCGGCCGGCAGGGACGGGTGTAGCGTTTCATTTGGCTCCCTGTCTTGCTTTTTGCCTTTCTCGCAGCGGCGTCTCGCGTGTCTCGTCGCTCCAGAGCTGACTGAAGGGTTTCCAGTCATGTAAAGCAGGAACGATTGAGGACGGAGGCGGAGGGATGGGGGGGCGGGTAGTTTTTCTCTCCCAACTTTACCGCGTTAGCGCTTTTTTTAAAAACAAAACAAAATAACCGTTTACCGCTGATAGTGACCAAACGAGTTTCTGTAATGGGGGTAGAGTAAGTTCTGGAAGGGGGGCTGATGAAATCGCTAGGGCGTGGTTGGTCTGTGCTGTCGCTCCCCACCAGAGCACTTTTGTGTCCGCCCGTGCCGGCACTCTTCTCACTGTTGCAGCGCCAGACCAGAAGGGCCCGTGCCGTGTTACATAATCCGGAGAGCTCGGCGGACACTCGGTACTCCCCGGGCCTGCTCTGGCCCTGTTTCGCTGCCTTCGCCTCGCAGCTCCTTTCCTTTTCCCAGCACTGGGACAGGAGGGCCTTCCCCCTCCTCTGTCCCGGCAGGGCCGTTCTCAGGTTGGCTGGTGCAGCTGTCCAGGGCTTGGAGAAAGGCTGGAATCCCCCCTTCATTCATTCAGCCACTCTTCGTGATGGGTGGGTATATGAGTATTTAGAGGCAGATCTGTCACAAGCACAGACTAAGGAGATTTCTGAGTTTCCACAACCTTGTGTGATACGTGTAGGTGGGTAGAGTATTTGGGATTTGTCAAAGCTAGAGCATACCAAGCTCTTGCCATTTTTTTTCCTTTCTCCTTTCCCCTTTTTTAATAGACAGATACAATTTTCTTAAATACAGAAACAAAAGGACCCGAGAAGAGCTGGATAAACTCCAAGCTCCAGCTGCAGTGGGCAGTGGAACTGCCAAAAGGGAGGTGGGGGCTGCTGTGATCTCTCTGCACGACCATGGCTTTTCCCCTTAACCTCTGTGTTGTCAGCGACACTGTTGTGATTCTCAGAACAGCTAGAACTTGAAATACACATCTTCTTAACCTCTGCACGATCTGAGCGTGCTGCTGTAAATCTGCAGAAGGCAGTGAAAGACAACAGTGATCTTGTTTCCACATAGGGTTTCTGTAGTGTTCTGTTGGAGGGATCAAGAGGCCTCTCAGTGTGAGGGAAGTTTTCATACCACAAGCAAAGAATCTAGGTGGAATCTGGGATTGCACGTGGTTTCTTAGAAAGCTATGTGAAACCAGTTATCTAAGGTGCCATACAGCAGTGGCATCTTGCTTCTCTAGGACCAAGAGTAACCGAAGTTATTTTTCTACTCTTGCAGGTCCACTTGGTTGGTATTGATATCTTCACCGGTAAAAAATACGAAGATATTTGCCCATCGACTCATAACATGGATGTTCCAAATATCAAGAGGAATGATTACCAGGTGAGTTAACAGTCATAAGAGGCTTTACACTCTTAATACCACATGTAAACTCTCTTCATCCCCAGATTTGCCTCTTGATAAAAGTACTGTTGTCAGAATTAATAGAACTTGCTCGTCTAGACATCACATAGCTAAACTCGAAGCATTTATTGAATTGTTAAGAATGTCAAAACCCTCTGCTAAAGAGGGAGCTCCTTTGTGTGTTAACAGCCCCATGTTACAGCAGTAATCTTTAAATGTGACAGGTAATAGACATAATTCATAATCATGTTTTTTAAATATTGCTGTAAGATCACTTCTGTGTTCTTTGTGATACTGGCATCCTTTAAAATATGGAGAGAGGTTATCCCTGCTGGAAATTATTATTAGTTAAAGAATAGTCAAGCTCTCACTTCAGGTAGATTCGAATAAAAGTATATATTGTAATTTATGGTTTTGCTCTTACAGAGAGTAGTTGAATTCCCCAAACAGTCTCACACTATATCTGATGCCAGTTCTAACTTGCTACAGTGTGTTTCCTCCTCATGTGGAGATGGCTTTAGTTGATGTCAAACAATTTTGGTGCTCCTGAAGTCTCCAGTGAAATACCTTTATGAAGAGAGCTCAGCAGGCTTCTGTGATGCCTTCTGTGGCATGGATAGTGAGATGTTAAAAGCAGCAGAGTTCAGGTTGAATTGTAATGTGTGGGGTTTATTCCAATCATATTGGGAATAGTTCTGGTCTGGAGTTAATACATCCACATCATCTGGAAAGCTGCAATTGCTTGACAGAGCCCAGCAAAACAGCTGATGCTGTTGGGATGTAGCGTGACCAGCCTGTCTCAGGGCTCAGACCTTCCAAGAAATTCTTAATGTTACCTTGGTGATCTTTCTCCGTTTCTTGGGTTCTTATTGCTACTGCAATTCCTGCTGTTTATCAGACTTGTTAGGGTAGCCTTTGGATTTACTGTTCCATGTTCCCAATTCCCCAGCCTGCTCTGTCAAAATAGCCATTCCCCTTAGCTCAGGCTTTTGGTTAGGCTGAAAATAGCATTGCAGAAGTGGTCCCTGACTTGGTGGATGTTCCCTGATTTATTCACTAGTGTTTAATGTAAATGACAGTATCTCACTGTAGAAATGCAGGTGTGGAAGTGTACAGTTAACTCTGTTGTGTACTTTGTACACTTCAGAGAAGCAGCGCTGTTCCAGTTATTGTTTCTAATTCACAGATAAAGCTGAACCAGTGACCTGGAAGCAGTACATTTCCTAAATCGCAAGGGTTGGTTTTGCAGTGCCCAACACAGTAGGAAGTAACCAGCAGGTTTCTGTTGGTTCTTGACAGCAGACTGGCTTTTGCTACAGTTGCCCTAAGCCAGCCAACTAAACTTACTAAAAATTGACTTACAGAAGTTTCCTAACTGTTACAAACACAATACTAAAGAACTGTTGTAACAGGCAAAGTTCACTGCTTTCTGCTGACCTTCAGCTACGACCTGCTAGTGACTGCTGATGTCAAACTTCCTAAAAGTGGCCTTCTCTTCACAGCTGATAGGTATTCAGGATGGGTATCTCTCCCTGCTGACGGAAAGCGGTGAAGTTCGTGAGGATCTCAAGTTGCCAGAAGGGGATCTGGGCAAAGAAATAGAAGGAAAATTCAATGCCAATGAAGATGTGCAGGTGAGTGTGGAGGGCAGACGAGCAGTTATGGCTAGTTCCACTTGATGATGCAATGAAGAAGTCTTATTCTGGTATTGACCACTTGTATCTCTTTGAAGAGTAGGTTAGAGGGGTGGGAATTGGCCCTTTGAGATGCAGAAGGACTTTTGTAGTGGAGTACTCAATAGACATGGGATAGATACTAAAATGTGAAGGTCTGTAGCTTCTAGGAGCGCTTCCTGTGGCGTGGTCTGGAGCTCACCTTTGTGTCTTCTCTTGCAGATATCTGTCATAAGTGCAATGAATGAAGAATGTGCTGTAGCCATAAAGCCTTGCAAGTAAAGAAGATCGCCAGGCTCGGGCAACTGCTCAGGTCTGGACAAACCACAGATCTATAAATTTGGTTCTTATTGTCACCAAAGCTCTGGCCTTCACAAGCAACCTCATTTCCTTTTTTGAATTGTTAAAAAGCAGTGCTGGATTCTGAATTAGTGTTGCAGGCTAACTGGCAGTTTTCAAAATCACTGAGATTTTAATTCCTTAATTGTAACTATTTTAACATTCCTGTGGGTTTCAGCTATGGATCTAAGAAACCAATCAGGTGTTACTAGTGGATATATTTTTATTTGCTTGAGCAAAACAGTGTTTGTCTGTATGAACAGACAAAATACAGTATTCAGGGGCTTTTAGATAAGCTGGTAGGTATCTAGGATTATAAAGTGACCTAGAGCACAAATAGTATTTTTCTTGACATCTTTAGGTAGAACTGACAATAAAAGTAGCCTTTTTTTCTTTCTTTTTTTTTTAAAGCTTAAGTACTTTGTGGATTGGGACTCTTGCAGAACTGTAGGTGCCAATCACAACTTTTAGACCAAGAAACTCAAGTGATCAGAAATGCCAGCTGGCTTGACCAAGCCCCAGTGGCCATGTGCAACTTAACTGTATTACCTCTGTTTTCTTCTTTGCCAACTTGTTGGCTTATTGTAATGATAAAATGGTTTAAAAAAAAAAAAAAAGCCTACCTGTGGTTTAGGCAGGCAATTGGAATATTGAGTAGATAAGACATAAATAGGTCAAGGGGACACAAAGGTGAGAATGGATGTTAAAGCTATAGACTTTCACTCGAGGCCTTTGTCAGACTTGAAAAATAAAATAGAAAAATGCAGTTCAATTGCTTTCCTTTATTATATTTATCTTAAACTATAAAAGGGTGACAAACTCCATGGGAATCTGTTGCAGTGCTTCCAGCTTTAGGTTTTAACCTTCAGGTTCAGACCGTATTTTTGTAGCACAGGGACCACATGTTTTTCAAAAAGTGGGACAAACTGTAGCATTGAGCCTAAACTAAATGCATGTGATTCTTTTTAAGAAAAAAAAAACAAAACCAACAACAACAAACTATTGTATTTTCAAAATGGAAACTTGACAGGCGATACCGAACAACCATGGCTTAACTATAAAAGTAAAACACTTTTTACCTAGTTAGGAAAGCTGGCTCCTGTCCTAGAGAGTTCTGAGTCATAGCAACACGCCTGCATGCCTCTTAACTATATAGTAACTTCACAAGGCTTCACAGCAATAGTTATGGAAGGATAATTAGCCTGCTCCTGTTTAAGGCGTTCAGCTTGAATTCTAAGACTTGGTGACTCTTCATGAGTGGGGAAACTTCCTGTAGTCCATGGCTCAGACCTCTCTTCACAGTTGATAAAAATTGTTCCGTGAACTTGCCTTAATCTTCAGTGGCTGGTGGAGGACGACATGTAAGCTCGTGGCTTGCTGCCCCGGACAGCACGCACAACTCGCGCCACCGGCAGCCAGAGTCAGGCTTCACGCTGCTCTCAACTGCTTCAGGTGTGTTCAGCTTCATAGTTTGTACTCTCTAGTCCCTGAAGGGCTCGTGGCAAACTGCCCCGAACTGCCCTTGGACACACCGTGGCAGGGCAAAGATGGCAAAAACACGCATTTCCCACAGACTCCAGGGAGAGCAGTACCAGTGATGGTAAAGACAGCAATAAATACACTCTGGTAATAAAGCACAGTTACCTGGGACACCTGGCAGAAGCAGGACCTGCCTCGTGCTCTTGCCTAGCACAACACATGTTGCAGGTGAACTCCGTAAATAGCACCTTGACCGAAGTGGCTGAGCTGCTTTTAGCAGAAGCTGTAGATTGCAGTGCCTTCAGAACAGCTCTGAAGCGTGTGTGGAATAGGTGAGGCTACTCTGCACTGTGCTCGTTCCTGCCTCTCCAATGGGCTGGTACCTGGAAGACAGGCTTTGTTGGCTTTGGAGGTGACTGAAAGCACTGATGAAGGTGCTGACAGCAGTCTGAGCTGTGTGGTGTCACATGCGAAGTCATAGGTTTGCTTTGTCAAAGTAATGCAAGTTCTAATGCTATCACCGTATTACAAATATTTCTGATATGCTTGAAAACTACGAGACTTGAATTTGTCCTTGTTCTCGGTAGTGCTTTAGTCTACTTTCAGATGCCTGTCTGTCCTCGAAAACCTTGTTGGAAGACAGGTATTTGATGCCACAGGCTCACAATCTGAGCAGTTACTCAGACTAAGCTCTCTGGGAGCAGGGCTGGTTTTAGTCCTGTTCCTACAAGCGGGGTTCAGGCCTGACTGGAGTTTTCAAGTACTACAGCAATCTAAAGATAGAGGTTTTATGACCTCCAGCTTGCTGGAAGAGCCCTCCTCGGGCCTTTCAGACATCCTTCTATTGCAACCTTCAGTTCTGCAAGATTTAAGTGGTTAAATACTTCATTATAGGTTTGTTCTTATATACTCAGTTGTTTTTTGTGAAGCACTTCAGACACCGTGGAAGTGCAGAGCATCATGCATGAAGCTTCCCATAGATAATACATAAGCATGTCTTAAGCATAAGCTCCAATTTTCAGTAAGGTTAAAAGTGGCTTCTAAATTAGAACATGTATTTGACGCCTTTTTTTTTTTTTTTTTTTTTTTTTTTTTTTTTTTTTTTTTTTTTTTTTTTTTTTTTTTTTCCAAACTAAGATGTTTCAGTTTCCTGTCGGGATCGTTGCAACAAACTTTGTGATCAGTAGCCCATTGGGATGTGTATTTTTTAAGATCCATAACCAAGTGCTTAGGGAAGTTCTCCTTTCATAGCTTTACTTTAAAACAAATCTTACCAGTGTATTTGTTCTGTATTACTGTCTTAACACTTAAAAAATTGTGTCAAAAATCATAAACTATAAACTTCTGATAGCTGATGGCAATTGCTTAAAGGCTGTGAACATAGGGAGGTGATGAGAGGTGTTTCCACTCCAAATAGTGCATTTTTTTTTATGGCTCCTGTTCATTGAGTTTCTCGTACTACTTTACACAATTGGAAAGGCTGCAGTGTTTCCTGCCTCAAATGTTGGCAAATAATACTTTGAGATTTCAATAGATCCTTCTAATTTTTGCTTACAATGGTGGTTTTTCAACTGGGCTCTTGCTGGTTGAGCCATGTTCTCAGGGCTGTTTTTTTAAAGAAGTTAGCTGAAGTTCATTGTTTCTCTTGCAGGTTTTTGTAATCTACAGTGTACCCAGAAATGGTGCACGGTCTGTAGTTTCACAGAGCAGATAATTTTACATAATCTGTAAAGAAGTCAAGTTTGTTGACAGTTCAGACTCTTATGGTTACTGCAGGTCAGTCTCACAGAACTCAAAATTCAATAAATCCCACTTTTTTTCCTTTTTTTTTTTTTTTAATTTCTGTTTTATTTGGTTGAGTAATTAGAATGTAGTTTGTTACAGTAGAACTAAACTTCAGGCTATTAAAAGAACCTTGTTAAGGATATCTCGAGTATCCACCGGGGAATGTTGTGAAGATGTGGGATCCTGGGGGCGTGGTGGAGCGATCGGCGTGGAATGAGGGGTTCGGGAGCCTCTCCAGCACCTGCAGCCCCGGCCCGACGGGATTTGGCACCCGAGAGCGACTTGGTTTGTGAACTCCAAGGAACTGTTTGCTGTGCTTTGCTGTATCGCAGAAACCCTTGTTGTCCTGTGCTGTCTGTTGTAAGCAAACCCGCCTTCTCCGGGGGGGAAGAGGGGAGCGAAGGCCACAGCCGGAGTTACGGATCGTGGGACAATCCAAACCCCAGCTCCGCCGCTCTCTGTTGGAAGCTCGTGTTCTCGACACCACGGAAAAGATCAGGGGAGAAAAAAAGAGATTTGTACGTGTGTGTTTTGCTCCAGAGATGATGATAATAATAATAATAATAATAAAGGTGTCAGTGCTGTGGGGAGGCTGGTGCTGGTTACATTAAATGGGGCCGCGCGTGGGGAGGGGGGGGGTTTGGGCCTCCGCAGCCCATTCCCTGGGGCGGGGGGATGGAGGGGGGGGGAAACGGGAGGAGCGTGAGCGCGCCCGTCCCGCGGGAACAGCGCCGGGAATTCCATGTGGGAATCTCGTCCCCCGGCGCCGCCATCTTCCCGGAAGTGCTCCCGGCGTGCCGCGCGCGCATGACGTCACCGCCGGGCCTATAAAAACCCGGCGCAGGGCCCGGCCACTTCCTTTCAGCGGGAGCGTCGCGGCGGGAGCGCCATGGCACCGGTGAGGGGGGGAAGGCCGAGGGGAGCTGTGGGGCGGCCGGGGGGCCGGCGGCCCGCCCGGTGACGAGCGGGGGGCTCCCTGAAAGGGCTTTGAGTAGGGGGCGACCGGGGGGAGGCGGCTGCAGTAAGCGTCGCTCGCCGGGAGGTGGCGCTCCCGCTGCCGCGTTCCCCCCCCACACCATGCCATGTGTGTCCCCTCCCTTTCCCTCCCCCTGTGTCCCCCATTTCCCCGGTGTGCCCTCCGACAGTGTGTTCCCCGCTCGCCCTGAGTATCCCCCTCTCTCACCGTGTGTCCCCCACTTTCCCACAGCGCATCCCCCCTCGCGTGTGTCCCACTGTGCCCTGAGTGTCCCCTCCTCCAGCGTGTCCCCATCCCTCCCTGCCATGTCCACCCCCCCACCCCATGTCCCTCCCCTGCCCTGTGTCCACACCACCCCTTTGCTCGGATTAAAGCTTGCTCTGGCACGGTTTCTTAATATTGGTTGTTCGCTTTTTTTTTTTTTTTTTTTTTTTTTTTTTTTTTTTTTTTTTTTTTTTTTTTTTTTTTTTTTTTTTTTTTTTTTTTTTTTTTTTAATTTTGTGTTTGTGTCTGTGTGTTTGTTTTAGCAAAAAGACAGAAAGTCTAAAAAGTCCACCTGGAAGTTTTGCCTTGACCTGACCCACCCTGTGGAAGACGGAATCTTTGATTCAGGGAATTTTGTAAGTCGTGGTTTTGCTCATACTTGTGACGGATAGTATAATTAAAGCCTTATTACGGTAGCTGAGTTACACCTGAAAAGCTGCATTCTTAACTAGTAAGATCAGCAACTGTCCTTTAAATTATCAGCGCTTTTAAAAAGTTATTTGGCTTTAGTTGTCTTTTATAGACAGCATAGTTTATACCTGTCTGTGAACAGAACTGTTTAAAATTCTGTTTTAGCAAGGGAGTGATATTTCATAATTACATGCTCTGAAATCTTTCTGCATTGTAAATACTTTTATCAGGACGTGAGCAAACGGTGGTTTTTAACGTTGCTGCATGACTAGGGTCCCTTCCCTAGTTCATACCTAGGGTGCCATTCCCTAGTGTTCTGTTTCTTTGATGTTGAAACAGGAACAGTTCCTAAAGGAGAAGGTTAAGGTCAATGGAAAAACTGGGAACTTGGGCAACACCGTTCACATTGAACGTCTGAAGAACAAGATCACGGTGACATCCGAGAAGCAGTTTTCCAAAAGGTTGGCACGGGTTTCCTCCTCTTGAGTTTGCGGTAGAGAGTTTTGAACTGTTTTATGTTGAACAGAAAATCACAGAGTCGTTAAGGTTGGAGAAGATCCTCAAGATCATCTAGTCAGATCATAAAGCTAACACTGCCGAGTCCATCACTAAATCATGTCCCTAAAATGCCCATTAATACTGATATCCTGCCTGCAAAAGGGATTTCATTTAGTGCACTTCTGATACTTAGAGAGGTGTCAGCTCTAACCTTCATAGCACTTGTAAATATTAGTGAAATATGTAATTAAAACATTTATCGTAGTAGCTATTTTTAAAACTGCTTTTTAAAACTAAAGGCCTGATTGCAGATTAAATCTCACTATAAGCATATTAATGCAAATACTCTGAATAGGTCCTTAGAAGTGTATCAAGGGAAGATGGACCTTTAACAGGCAGACTGAATTCAGGTCATGGGTGGCTGTTTGATTATTTAATTGTTTTTATTAAAATGTGTGTGTGTGTGATATGTGGTGTTGCAAAGACCTTCATAAGTCAAATAAAGCCTTAAACTGCTAATTTTGTTAGGACACAACAGATAAGTGCCCTGATCAGAGGTACAGATCCATCCCTCCTCCATTTGTTTGCTGATACAGATGCACCAAAATCTGTTAAATTGAACCAAGGTATAGAACCAGTTCTCAAGACCAAGGTTTAAAACCACTCACCAGTGCTTTTCAGTTACTGGCATTTTGCTGTTTAGTCAAAACCAGATAATAAATTCTTACATATCTGTAATGAAAACCTTTTATTACCTGCAACACAGGATAATCTGTCTCTGGGTGTGACCAGTGTGTCCTGCGTGGAGTGCAGACAGCAGCAAGGGTGGTTCAGTGAGACAGTTCTAACATGAAATTCCTGTTTTCAAGGTACCTCAAATACCTCACGAAGAAGTACCTCAAGAAGAACAACCTGCGGGACTGGCTCCGTGTGGTGGCGTCGGACAAGGAGACGTACGAGCTGCGCTACTTCCAGATCAGCCAGGATGAGGAAGGGTCAGAGTCTGAGGAATGATGGAATCTTGGCCTTATGCTAAACACAGAGTACGAAAGACTAGAACACCTATTTATAAGAACACTTAACTTATTGGTGAATAAAGAATTTGTACCCTGTTCGACAGAGCATGGTTGGTTTTCTGGTACTTTTCTTTAATTAAAAAGCAGCTCTGGGGAGTGGTTTGATTTGCAGTTTTCCTTCCATTGCCAGAAATCAGCTGGTCACTTGGCACCAGTGAGAGTCCCAGTAGGAGAATACTGAGCCCCTTTGCCCAGCAATCCTGTGGGGGACAGGTAGATCAATTTTTAATCATATTGGTACAAATAAATCATGGAGCGTTTTGTGACTGAAACTAATTTATGTGGAGCTAATGGCATAATCCTTAATAAAAGGTTACTTTTAATTTAGTTAAAAAACAGGCTTACAAGTTGTAAATCTTTTTTTCTTGTATGATTTACCTAATTCATTAGTTGGTTGTAGTATTCCTGTGTATAACCACGAGTCAAACTCCGGTATGACAGAGGTTTGTTAGCTGGATTTATATTAGATTGATTGATAAGGAGGTGGAGACAACTCTCATTGCCAACATCCAGCTAAAACTTAAAAGAAGCAGGGAGATGTCCTTTATTATTAACTGACTGAATGCCATAAAATCCATACAGATGGTTCTACTTTTATGATTTTACAGTTCTTGTATTTGACTTCTGGGATCATTTCCTTAAAACAAGCATTTCTTTTTACAAGTGGGGGGGTTTTTCATCGAAACACAAATCGTTCCAAATCCTGTAAAACAGTTCTGTTTGTGTAATATTGAAGGAAGAAGGGTTAATTGAAGCATCTTGCTGCAGTGGCCCACTGTTCTCCCCCCACCATTTTCGCTACCTTGCTCAAAGGAGATCTTGTTCTGTACAAATTCTGCAGACCTAAAATATTTACAGATACATAGTACAAAGAGCCCAGAGGTAATAAATCTTAGCCAAAGGAGCCAAGGTAGACATTTCAATAGGTAAATAGGCCCAAAGCCAAGGCTTTCTTGAAGCCTCAGTGAACAGAACACAAGAACAATAGAAAGAACGAAAAGTCACGAAGGTCACCTGATGAAGAGGAGAGAATTTGAGACCCCATGAGGAAGTAAGGCAGGATCTACCACCATAATATTCCTCAAAATAGAGACCACACCTCAATCTCCGCCCCTAACTCCACCTGTTATGATGTATGTGGTTATGTTGTAATCATTGCCAAACCTGTATAAAATACTCATTCTAACCTAACCAACTCGGAGCCTGTTTTCCCAGCACTAGCTGGCAGGCTGCCCGGCCGCCAATAAATAAATACCTTGCTGCTTTAGACATAAAATTCTGTCTAAACAGTTTTTTTAATCTGCTTTTTTGGGCATCAATATCAAAAGAAATTTGATGAATTTTCACTATGAAAAAGTATTTGTGAGTCTGCAGCTGCAGTAACTGTTGCATGTGGATGCATTTCAGTGCCACGTGCTGCTGGGCTGGTTGTGTCCTCTGCATATGATTTATTACTACTCTCAGGTCCCAGTGCATTGGTGAACTCTGGAATAAGTAGTGCCATATTTGTTTAACATCACAAAACAGGGATCCACGTAGTAGGCTCTGATACTGATTTTTGTGCTTGAACAAATCTGCTAGTTCAGGCTGAAGTGTGCCTTCTAGATGGTTTGATTTCCTGATGATTTTTTAAAAATAAATTACTATATCAGCATTGTTTCTGCTGGCAGACCTCTGAGACAGTCTATTTAGAGACTTGCCGAAGCACAAAGCAACACATTACCAGTCAAATGCCACCTAAATCTAAATGAGAAGTACAGAAGGGGAGATGAACTTTGTCAACAGCTTTTGGGGTCCCATTTGTCATTTTTCAGTGTGCTTGACTGTTC